GCCCCGGTCCCAACAGCATGTGTGCCCCCCCACGCCCCGGTCCCCACAGCATGTGTACCCCCCACACACACCCTCAGCTGCTTACCTGGCCTAAAACCGGGGATGGAGAGGAGCCGGTGGCCGTGGCCGGAGTGAAGGCCGACCGCTGCCGTATCTGGCCGGCACTGGGGACGGTGAGCGAGGGCTGGGCGGCCCAGGCGTCCCAGTTATCCGTTTCGGGCTTCTCGGCGGGGCTGGGCCACCTGGGAGGGAAGCAGCCCCGTGAGCAGCAGGCCCTTCCCAGCCACCAGCTGCTCCCAGTGAACACAGCCCAGCACAGGCCCAGGCTCCTGCAGCTCAGGACGGGGAGGAGGAAAGGCGAGGGGCTGGGGCGGGGCCAGCTCCCATGGGCAACGAGCCTCAGGGAAGACAGCGGTTTCTCTGAGCCTTGATTTCCTCGCCCACTAATGGGAAGGCCACTCTGCCCTCTGGCTGGTGGGAGGGTCATGTGAAATACCAGGTGGGAAGACACGCTAACCACGAGCACCAGCAACACCCTCCCCTGACCATCGCTGTCATCTGTAACAGCAGCAGCGACAGCGGTGAAGAGGAAGTCACACACCCCGTGCGGAGCGCCTGCGTGGTGGCTCCTGCTCCCAACACCGTTTCTCCCTCCGCCCCATCGCCAGCTGCCGGACCTCGGGGACACTCAGATCGGTCACTCTCTGACTTGAAATAACCACCCTGTGTGAGGGCAGCACCTGCAGGTTACTGTTTACATCTTTGTGAGGCATAAACGCAGCTGAAAATCAAGATCGTGCCTTTGTTGGAGTGCACGTCCTGGCTCGGGGCTGAAAAATAAGAGGCCCGAAATGATAGCAGCGACTGCGCAGCAACATTCACTGAGGAAGGGCGGGGGCCACCTCAGCCCCTCCTCCAGCTGAGCTGTCTAGTCTCTCCCTCCAGCTGAGCTCATCTCTCCCCAGCACTCGGCTCCTCTGCTTCTCCTGAAGGACGGTGGGACATGAGAAAAACTGGAAGCACTTCTTATTCGTGTCGCTTGTGCCTGGACGGGGGTGGTGGGGGGTCAGACACCCTCACACCTCGCGCATGCGTGCCTCTAACCCAGTGTGGGCAGTGGTTCAGCTGTCCTTCCCAGCCTCTGCTGACCCGTCTTTAATGCCATTTCCTGAAGACCAAGGGCCCGTCATGGCCACGGCACACCGCTCCTCACTGCGCTTCCGGACACGACGGGGGAGAGGAGAGCGACACAGGAGCAGCTTCCTGTCTCACTCAGAGCCGAGGACTGAGTCCCTGTCTGTCTGTCCAGCTGAAACGTGCTGTGGGCGTGCAGGAAGTGACGGGTTTGCTGACTGCATGGACGCCAGAGAGGCTGTTGGGAAGCTACTTCTCCGTTTCCTCCACGGGAATGAAAGGGCCGGACAGAGACTGGGGAGCGAGACGCCCGCCTCTGCCCCGCGGTCACGGAGCCGCGAGCATTAGCCCGTTCCGGGAGAGGGACCCACACGGCTGGGACCGGTTACGGCTGCACCCCGACTATGACAGCCCCTAAGAAGAAAGGTCACTGAGCGGGTATCTCAAAGGTCACAGCCATGGCACGGCTGCACTCACGTGGAGCTGAAGTCCGCCCAGTTGTTGGGGGTGGCGGAGGGCTCGGCCGCAGTCACCGCCGGGGGAGCCGGCGTCTCCCGCACCTCCAGCTTGGGTGCGGGCGTGGAGGTCAGGTCTGTCACTGGTTTGACGGGGGCAGGAACCTCGTTTTCTGGGATCTTCTCGGCGTAGTTGGCAGGAAACCACCCCGTCTTGCCTTTCAGCTCTCCTCCAAGCCACCCCGGCTCTCCAGTCTGGCTCTCGTCCACCTGCAGGAGAGCCACAGGGTTGAACTTGAGCGGGACTGACCAGCCCGCAGACACCGGACACACAGACAAGGCCTGGCCCGGCAGACTGACCCTGGCGGCTCTGCGCCTGACCCCAGGTGGCTCTGCACCTGACTCTGGGCGGCTCTGC